TTCTTTGATTAATAGAAAAAAAAAAATCTTCAAAAGAAATCGTTTAAAATGTCTTTAGTGTCAGTTTTGATATTTAATGGGTCCTTGCTTTTATTTAAATTGCTGACGTCAAACCTTTAAATTGTATTGTATTTGTACATATTTACGTATGTATTTTTATGCTGCTTAGGTTTTGTAGACTCCTAGGTTTTGTAACTGGGTTAGCAAATATTTTACATCATACCAAATGGAAAAAGGGACTAAAGTTAGTTTGTTGATTCATTCTTTGTCTAAATACATTTTTACAGTATAATAGTGTTTTTATTACAAAAAAAATCCTGAATTGCAGTTGTTTCACAGGTGTTAATAAAATGTTTGTCTTTGATCTCAGCAGAAAAATGTTTTGAGGAATATGCAGTGGGAGTAAAATAGACTTCCTTCCCAAGCTTGCTATAACAGCTCATGGGAAATATATATATGAGTGTGTATAGAGGATTAGACGCTTTAATGACAGCCATTACAGGCTCTCTCTGGCTTATCATCTGACCTCTTCTTGGTAGGAGAGTGTGTGTTCACTGCAGATTACTGGAGCTTTTGAAATGCTAGATCTGCCTTTATGTCCGTCATTCCCTCCTCCTCCCCCCCATACGTCCCTTTAACACGTTTTCTGTAATCCATGGCACCTGACCCACGCAGAGTCTCAGTGAGACTGTTGACATTTCAGATCAGGATTAGAGCATTGCTTTAAAGATTACCCAGGTTGATGTTTGTTTGCTTTGCTCCTGGCGAGACAGAAGTGGGTTAGATGTAAGCAACCCATTTCATCTTAGTGTACTCCGTCCAGCGGGTACGCTGGCATTCTCCAGGCCCGTCTGTGTGGGGCACAGTTCAAATGAAAGATTAAAGCATGCGGTGAAACCGTCAGATAAGGCTTTGCAAGCTTCTGTCCTGAATGTGGAGATCTCTCATGTTTGGTTCTGTAATGTCTGAATTCCTCCACTGAATGCTGAACCCTCTGCTGATAAACAGAGGCTTGAATCTTCTGTACCACAGCAACAGAAATGATATTTTAGCTGAGTTGTGAGCTTGAAATCTGAATTGAATGTAACGAGAAACTTCACAATAATACAAACACAATAAATAGATGTCTTTTTTCATCAGTGTAGTCTAAATCTTGAACAAATTACTCGTATGAGGTGGTTGTTCTTGAAGGGGTCAAGAACTGAGAAATCAAAATTCCCTTGATCTTTTGACATATAAGAGGTCATTGTGCTATAAAATCATTCAGAACTCAAAACTTTCTCTTAAGTCTAAAAACAACTTGTATTGAAGCCAATCTGCCAAAACGACAGCTTGTGGAATTTACCACTCTATGATGTAATAGTGTGGCTAAACACCGCCTCCGCTGAAGAAGATCAACGCCGCCTTCTACATCACTGCCTGCTTAGTCCATAGGTAAATGACAAGAGCGGCAAACGCAGGTCTACGCAGAACCAAACGATTAACTTTATTTTTAATGAAGTGCCAGACTGTGTCAGTAAGAACGTGGTCCTTTGTTCACTTCATTTTTACCGTGGATGTGTTTACAAACAAGGCACAATTCGAAGATTGAAGCTAAAAGACAATGCTGTGCCGGCTATATTGGATCAGAAAAATAATGTCACAACACACAAGTGTGAGTAACTGTTTTCATTACGTGATCACTTTTACTTTGTCTGTTATTACCGATCGTTTGGTATGTACTGAGTATTTATGCGTTTTTAACCTAAATCACAGCAACGTACATTTATGAAGGATGTAGGCTGTCAAACATACACAACTATTATCCAATCATAGCAGTGGGCGTTTACTTCTAAATTCCGCCACACCTATTCAAATAGTAACTGTTTTCATTACGTGATCACTTTTACTTTGTCTGTTATTACCGATCGTTTGGTATGTACTGAGTATTTATGCGTTTTTAACCTAAATCACAGCAACGTACATTTATGAAGGATGTAGGCTGTCAAACATACACAACTATTATCCAATCATAGAAGTGGGCTTTTACTTCTAAATTCCGCCACACCTATTCAAACAGAGCGTTCCATTGAGGGGGATCAAAACAGGACAGAAAATAGCCTATTACTTCTAAATTATGTTTTTTGATGTAAAAATCTTGAAAGTGGACCTCAGAAAACAGTACAAAATAAAAACAAACAAACAAAGGCAGTTCATGACCCCTTTAATGAGTCTGTGTTGAACTCAGTAGTTATCGTTTGAACAAGCCTACAGTAACTAAACAATTTAAAATGCAATTTATTTCTGTGATGGCAAAGCTCAATTTTCAGCATCATTACTCCAGTCTTCAGCGTCACATGATCCTTCAAAAATCATTCTAATATGCTGATTTGTTGGTCAAGAAACATTTCTTATCAATGTTGAAAACGTCTTAATATATATATTTTTTTAAATCCATGATGCATTTTTTCAGGATTCTTGGAATAGAAGTTTCAAAAGAACATAATTTATTTAAATTAGAAATCTTTTGTAACATTATAAATGTCTTTGCTGTCACTTTTGATCAATTTAATGCTTCCTTTCTGAATAAATGTAAATTTCTTTAAAAAAAATAAATAAATCTTATTGACCCCAAACTTTTGAATGGTAGTGTAATATACAGGTGCATCTCAATAAATTAGAATGTTGTGGAAAAGTTAATTTATTTCAGTAATTCAACTCAAATTGTGAAACTCGTGTATTAAATAAATTCAATGCACACAGACTGAAGTAGTTTAAGTCTTTGGTTCTTTTAATTGTGATGATTTTGGCTCACATTTAACAAAAACCCACCAATTCACTATTTTTTTTGTTGGTCTTATGAAGTATTCTAATTTGTTGAGATAGTTAATTGGTGGGTTTTTGTTAAATGTGAGCCAAAATCATCACAATTAAAAGAACCAAAGACTTAAACTACTTCAGTCTGTGTGCATTGAATTTATTTAATACACGAGTTTCACAATTTGAGTTGAATTACTGAAATAAATTAACTTTTCCACGACATTCTAATTTATTGAGAATCCACCTGTAGTTAAATTGCAACCCGAATTGTTCATCTCATATGATTCCCATTTACTCTTTGTATACATAAAGATATTGTTGAGAATATGTGTGATGCACGTGTAAACTGATATTTTCATAGGTTTACCGAGTTTACAGTTGTCATTAAAGTACTTTCAGACTCTGCAATTGGATGAATTTATTTGAATTGGAAATCTATGTAAACGAGCATTAATCACACTGTATCTTTCTCTCTCTCTCTCTCTCTCTCTCTGTCTCTCTCTCTCTCTCACTCACACACACACACACACACACACCTCCCTCATTCCCCACATCTGGCTGCTCTCTAATGTATATCTGAGACCTAAACTTGGCCCTCGCAAGAACTCAAATAATAATCAAGGCCTCGGATGTTGTCAAATTCACAGGCCACTCTGTGTTGCATAGCAACAGGCAGTGCAGCGCTGAGTGAGAGAGAGAGAGGTGATGCTGTGTGTGAGTGATCTGAGCTCTGTGTGAAAGGCTGAAGTGTCACACAATTGATCTCTTTCTTTCTGTCATGCAGAGATGCCCTTGTCTGACCAGGTCAGCCAACATCCACAGGCTTGTATTTATTTAAAAAAAAAAAATTA